TGCTCGAGAGCTGCGCGGGAGGCACCCCAATCCAGCAGGCTGCGCAGACTTCTCAAGGCCCCTGGTTCTGAAACACAAAAATGATCGACCCACGAACCCGGAAAGGAATACAGAAATGTAAGGCACGACAACTTTTTCAAAGACACCTGATCGGGCGACGGGCAATTGCAATGCTGAGTGTATCGATCTTGATGTACCGTGCCGAAGGCCGTGTTGCGCTGCGCCTTGCTGAATTGCGATGTGCCATGCCAGGATTGTGCTCGATAGCGTTGTGGATCGAGTCCTCCTCCTCCGTACTGGGGACAAGCGTTTCGCTCGAAATATCCTGCCCACATCCTCATGCTAGACATCCGCCTGGGCGACCTGGACACGTGAAAACAAGCGTTTCGCTGAACACTTCCTCAACACATCCTCATGCTAGACATCCGCCTGGGCGAACTGGACGCGTGAAACCAAGCGTCTCGCTCGAGACATCCTCAAGACCTGGGCACGTGAAAAGAGATCCTGTGAATTCTGGGCCCGGGGAGAGGACAGACTATCTCACAAAACAAGCGTTTCGCTCGAGACGTGAGCAACAATTTCTGCAAACGAGCGTTTCGCTCGGGACATCCTCAATGTTTAATTAGCCGGCCCACCCTTTCCTCGTTACTTCTCGCAAAAAAAAATGCCGGCCCACCTCAAGTCGATTCTGGGGTTGAACTCCTAACATGATCGACCCACAAACCCAGAAAAGAATATAGAAATGCAAGGCATGGCAACGTTCCAAAGACACCTGATCGGGCGACGCGCAAATGCAATGCTCAATGCATCGATCTTGATGTACCGTGCCAAGGGCTGTGCTATGCTGCGCCTTGCTGAACTACGATGTGCCATGCCACGATTGTGCTCGATTTAACGTTGTAGATCGAGTCCTCCTTTGCATCCAAGTCCTGACCGAACTGATCTGGATCTTAAGCTCGAACTGCCTGAGCACATAGCAGCTGCCCCAGAGCTAATTGACAGTGGGACATGCCAGGAGGACGCGCCGCGGAACGTCCCACGGGACGCGCCAGGCGACGTGCCAGGGGACGTGCCATGGGGACGCACCGCGGGACGTGCCAAGGGGACGCGGTACGGAACGTCCCAATGGACGTGCCACGGGACGTGCCAGGGGACGCGCCGCGCGACGTGCCAAAGGGACTCGCCACGGGACGCGCCACGGAACGTGCCAGGGAACGTGCCAAATTGCAATGCTGAATATATCGATCTTGATGTACCGTGCCAAGGGCTGTGCTGTGCTGCGCCTTGCTGAACTGCGATGTGCCATGCCACGATTGTGCTCGATTGAACGTTGTAGATCGAGTCCTCTTTGCATCCAAGTCCTGACCGAACTGATATGGATCTTAAGCTCGAGCTGCCTGAGCACATAGCAGCTGCCCCAGAGCTAATTGACAGGGGGACATGCCAGGAGGACGCGCCGCGGCACGTCCCAAGGGAAGCGCCAGCGCCTGTTGTGCGCAACGCCAACACCCCCCCCAAGCCTTTGAATACAAAGTGCATTTTGCACCAAAACCTGGATCATGCGAGGACGCCCCGCGATCACTTTGCCTTGGCTTTTGACAGGGGCGGCGGGGGACGGCATCCTGCCTGCGATGTGCAGGCCTATAATATCAAGGGGCCCAGGGACACACAAATAAATGGACACAATTCCCAGGATTCCCTACAGTTTCCCATGCTTTCTGGATTTGCGTCTTCCCCCCCCCACTTCCGATATTTCCCCATGTATGTCTGGGAATCGACGATTATTTGTGTCTGTGTGTGTGCTTCCCCCTCCTGATAATATCCCTGTCAACGTGGCGCACATGGTGCGCGTCGCGCACCTGGCAAGTGCGGCGAGCCTCGCGGGTATCGCCCACCTGGCTGGCATCTGCAGTGGTTCCCGATGGTAGTCGATGGCAGCCGCTGCCTGTGCTCATACTCGGGTGCTACTTATGATTCGCGGGAGGGCGGGTGAGATGAGCATCGATTAACCGATCCCCATCCCCACCAGCGTGGGCTGGGCCCCACTGGTCGATCTGCCTCTCTAGATGGGGACATGGGCCGTTCCCTTCGGGTTTTCGAGGGGTGCATCACCAGCTGGGGTTGTAATTTGGTGGGGGCCTCGAAAGGGATGAGGACGGGGATGGGGGTCGGTGCAACGATACTGAGCCTGTGATCGGGTGCTGCTGATGTGTTTCGAGAGGGCGGGCGGGAGTGAGCGACACAGCCTGCGGCCTGAGGCAGCCTGAGCACTGCTATACTCGACTGGCGACAAGCCCGGGGCCATGCGGGTCCCCCCCCCGCCATCCCTGCCCAAAGAATATGCAAAGTGAACCCTGCGCCAGAACACTGGGTCATGGTCTTTGCATTGTCTTTCGGCAGGGACGGCGGGGGTGCCAGCATATGGCCTGCTGTGCGCAGCGCCACCACCCCCGTCAAGAAAGAGTACAAGCTGCATTTCGCGGCTACATCTGGATCATGCGCGGGCACCCCACGACAACTTTACATTGGCTTTTGGCATGGACGGCGGGGCTGGCATATTGCCTGCTGTGCGCAAGCCCACCAGTCACTCCGCCGCGATT